CCCCTCAGTGCTGACCCATAGCCACTTAGTTTGCATTGGCTGGTTTTGTTTCACACCCTGGGCATAACCACCTAATGCTGGCAAGAGGAGACTGGGAATTTGAGGCCTCTGGGAAGGGAGTGGTGTGGAGTCAGGTTGTTAGAGCAGGGTGTCTGGGAGCCAGGACTCCTGGTTTCTCTGGGAGAGGAGTGGGGTCTAGTGGGTAGAGCAGAGGGGTAGTGCCATGGATACCCACGGCCCATCCCCGCTGGGCTGCAGACACAGATGTAGCCTTGCAGGGCCCCATGGCGCTCCCCCATCCAACTGCACATCTACCACCCAGCCCTCGGGCTCCGAGCCCTGCTGTCTCCATCCTGCAGCAGGGAGTTGTAGGGCCCAGCTAGCTCAGCCAGAGCTATTTTGAACAAGGCGCAGCTGCACTTTTGCTCCCGGGCAGTGGGCGCTGTGAGCAGAGTCCCTCCCAGGGGCCTGCGCGAGGGCACGGGGGTGTCGAAACCACTCCAGAGGGCGGCGCTGCGTGCCAGGGTCCAGGAGGCAGCCCCAGCCTGGGGGGGGGGCAGGTGTGGGGTGGGAGCCTGAGTTTGCCGCAGCCTGTCACTGCTGTACAGCGCCCTGCGGAGCTGTCTGTGCCTGTTCAGGGATCTGCAGAGAGGGGCAGGATGTCAGGACTTCTGGGTTCTAGCTCTGGCTGAGCCCCTGCCCCGTGCCTCAGTTTCCCCTCCCATCCTTGAGGCTCACTATGGCTGTCTGCTGGCTAACAGCCAGACGGGGTGGGCAGGGGGCTGCTGGGTTCGCTCTAGCCACAGTGCCCTGGGGTGTCTTTAGTGGTGCAGTCGCACAGGGGAGCAGCCCCCACCCAGCTCTGTGGGGAAAGCCAGGGCCCGCGCTTTGGAATCAGATCAGTCAGCGGGAAGGAGCCATGGACCCATGTGCCATGTCACCCAGGCTTGGGACCCCAAGGCAGTGAGGCCTGCAAAGGGGGTTCCTCCCCCAGTTGGTCCGGGGAAGGAGTGCGCGCCTACCTGCACCATAGCCTGCAGGGACGCCGTAGCCTGTGCAGAAAGGAGAGAGGAGTTAGAGCCAGATGGGGGGGGGGGGCGCGGAGCTAACAGGGATCCCCTAAGTGCCACACTCCCCACAGGGGACTCCAGGGTTTCTACTCCTGTGCTCAGGAACTCAGAGAAGAGCCTTTGCTCTCAGTGGGGCAGATGACCCCACTTACCTGCTTTACCCAGCTTTATGCCTGCACCCGGTGCCACTCGAAACCCATTCTGAGCTCCTGCGGGGACCAGAAAAGAGAGGGCTTAGCTGGGAGTAGGGGCCCTGATGGGGCGGCCCCAGCTCTGCTGGGGTGGCAGGAGGCACGTCTTCTGCGATCCCACCGCCCCTCCTGACCCAGCCAGCCACTCTGGGAACCTCACAGGCAGCTCTCAATCACCCAGCCCCACGCCCAGGCCTCACCTAGTCCCAGCTGCAGTCCTTGGGGTCCATAGCCAGGGTGTGGTGCTGGAAGGGAGGAACAGAGACAAAGGTAGGATGCATCAAACACGCACTGTTTGCTGCAGGGGAATTGGCGCTAGCTGGTTAGAAGAGTGCAGGGAGGAGAGGCTGCGAGGCAGGACTCCTGGGTTCTGTCCCAGCTCTGGGAGCAAGGAGGGCTAGTGGTCAGAGCAGCGGGAGGCTGGGAGCCAGGACTCGTGGGTTCTGTCCCAGCTCTGGGGATAAGGGGGGCTAGTGGTCAGAGCAGCGGGAGGCTGGGAGCCAGGACTCGTGGGTTCTGTCCCAGCTCTGGGGATAAGGGGGGCTAGTGGTCAGAGCAGCGGGAGGCTGGGAGCCAGGACTCGTGGGTTCTGTCCCAGCTCTGGGGATAAGGGGGGCTAGTGGTCAGAGCAGCGGGAGGCTGGGAGCCAGGACTCGTGGGTTCTGTCCCAGCTCTGGGGATAAGGGGGGCTAGTGGTCAGAGCAGCGGGAGGCTGGGAGCCAGGACTCGTGGGTTCTGTCCCAGCTCTGGGGATAAGGGGGGCTAGTGGTCAGAGCAGCGGGAGGCTGGGAGCCAGGACTCGTGGGTTCTGTCCCAGCTCTGGGGATAAGGGGGGCTAGTGGTCAGAGCAGCGGGAGGCTGGGAGCCAGGACTCGTGGGTTCTGTCCCAGCTCTGGGGATAAGGGGGGCTAGTGGTCAGAGCAGCGGGAGGCTGGGAGCCAGGACTCGTGGGTTCTGTCCCAGCTCTGGGGATAAGGGGGGCTAGTGGTCAGAGCAGCGGGAGGCTGGGAGCCAGGACTCGTGGGTTCTGTCCCAGCTCTGGGGATAAGGGGGGCTAGTGGTCAGAGCAGCGGGAGGCTGGGAGCCAGGACTCGTGGGTTCTGTCCCAGCTCTGGGGATAAGGGGGGCTAGTGGTCAGAGCAGCGGGAGGCTGGGAGCCAGGACTCGTGGGTTCTGTCCCAGCTCTGGGGATAAGGGGGGCTAGTGGTCAGAGCAGCGGGAGGCTGGGAGCCAGGACTCGTGGGTTCTGTCCCAGCTCTGGGGATAAGGGGGGCTAGTGGTCAGAGCAGCGGGAGGCTGGGAGCCAGGACTCGTGGGTTCTGTCCCAGCTCTGGGGATAAGGGGGGCTAGTGGTCAGAGCAGCGGGAGGCTGGGAGCCAGGACTCGTGGGTTCTGTCCCAGCTCTGGGGATAAGGGGGGCTAGTGGTCAGAGCAGCGGGAGGCTGGGAGCCAGGACTCGTGGGTTCTGTCCCAGCTCTGGGGATAAGGGGGGCTAGTGGTCAGAGCAGCGGGAGGCTGGGAGCCAGGACTCGTGGGTTCTGTCCCAGCTCTGGGGATAAGGGGGGCTAGTGGTCAGAGCAGCGGGAGGCTGGGAGCCAGGACTCGTGGGTTCTGTCCCAGCTCTGGGGATAAGGGGGGCTAGTGGTCAGAGCAGCGGGAGGCTGGGAGCCAGGACTCGTGGGTTCTGTCCCAGCTCTGGGGATAAGGGGGGCTAGTGGTCAGAGCAGCGGGAGGCTGGGAGCCAGGACTCGTGGGTTCTGTCCCAGCTCTGGGGATAAGGGGGGCTAGTGGTCAGAGCAGCGGGAGGCTGGGAGCCAGGACTCGTGGGTTCTGTCCCAGCTCTGGGGATAAGGGGGGCTAGTGGTCAGAGCAGCGGGAGGCTGTGAGCCAGGACTCCTGGGTTCTGTCCCAGCTCTGGGAGCAAGGAGGGCTAGTGGTTAGAGCAGCAGGAGGCTGCGAGGCAGGACTCCTGGGTTCTGTCCCAGCTCTGGGAGCAAGGGGGGCTAGTGGTCAGAGCAGCCAGAGGCTGCGAGGCAGGACTCCTGGGTTCTGTCCCAGCTCTGGGAGCAAGGGGGGCTAGTGGTCAGAGCAGCGGGAGGCTGCGAGGCAGGACTCCTGGGTTCTAGCCCATTCCAAGAAAAGTGGGGTCTAGGATAGAGGCTGGTTGTCACCCGCCTGCCTTGGCTCCAGATGGTCCCAGTCCGGCTCCAGAGTGAACTCCCCCTGTTCCTGCAACCCAGACAGCACAGGGGTGAGTCAGTCCCTTGCTCCCCATTTCTATCCTGGTGGGAGACCATCCCCCTCCCCTGGGGAATTCTGGGTCCAGCTCAGCCAGAGCCTCCTGGGCAGCCCAGCCTTGTGCCCCCGTCTCTCCATGCATGCCCTGTGCCCTCTCCCTTCCAGTCTGCCCACTCGGGGACACCTTCCCCACAGTGCCTGACTGGGGTTCACTTACCCTGGATCAGCGATGGGAGGTAGAGACGCCCTAGGGCTCCATTTGCCTGCAGTTTCACTCCTGGGAGGGGGTGCAAAGGGGGGGTTGCCAGAAATGGGATATCCCTAGAGAAGCACATGGGGGGCTGGGGCCCACGGTGATCAGGGGATGCCAAGGGGCTGGGACCCCAGGGAGATGTGAAGGTTGAGGGTCCCTACAAGATATTGGGGGCAGAGGAGAGCACTGAGCTTGGGGGCGCTTTGGGGCAAGGACTCATGGGAGAGAACCCTGGTACCCTGGCTTCCAGCCCCATGTGCCCATCTGGGAGATGGGGCCCACATTTCTCTGGGGCAGTCCCTGCTCTGGCCTGGGGACTTCAGTGCAGAAGGGGACGTGCACCAGCCAGACACTTGTCCCCCCCCATCCCATGGGCTGGGGTCTCAGTGCCAGAGGCAGGGCGGGCAAGCATGGGGTGGCTGGTGACACCGCAGCTGGGACTCCTGGGTTCTATCCCTGGCTCCGGGAAGGGGCTGGAGGCTGGTGGGTGAGAGCAGGGACACCTGCCTCTGCCGGGGCTAGCCCCCCCCTGCTGCTCCCAAGTGTCCCCTCTCCCCCCACGACCTGCACTGCCCCACAGAGGCGGTGCAGTCAAATGAGGCAGCCCCAGCCCCCACCACTGTCCTGTCCCATCCCAGCGCAGCCCCCCAACCTGAATCCCATCAACCCCATATTCCCCCGCGCTGCTCACCCCCCTGCAGGCTGCCCCTGGCCAGGCACAGCAGCAGCAAAAGCAGCCCAGCGTGCAGAGTCCCAAGCCCCATGGCGATGTGAGCTCCCCTCAATCCCTGCTCCCCCTATATACCCATGGCCCCGCCTCCCCAGGGCAGGCCACACCCCCAGTGACTCACTGCCCGGAGCACCTGCAAGGAGAGGGCAGCAAGGGGCTGTTGTGAGAGACACATACCAATATAGACACGCAGCACCCCACTGGGACACACTCCCAGTGAAACACACTCACCCCGGCACCCCCACTGGGACATGCTCACAGTGACACACACAGCGATACACTCCCAGTAAAACACTCCCCACTGACACACTCACAGTGACACACACACAGCGATACACTCCCAGTAAAACACTCCCCACTGACACACTCACAGTGACACACACACAGCGATACACTCCCAGTAAAACACTCCCCACTGACACACTCACAGTGACACACACACAGCGATACACTCCCAGTAAAACACTCCCCACTGACACACTCACAGTGACACACACACAGCGATACACTCCCAGTAAAACACTCCCCACTGACACACTCACAGTGACACACACACAGCGATACACTCCCAGTAAAACACTCCCCACTGACACACTCGCAGTGACACACACAGACTATCATGACTAGGATATGTATTATCTTTGATTTTTGAGCATGTATCCTGCAACCTTCATCCTGTTGTTCCCTTGGTGTGTAGTTCTTGCCGTTCCTTTGCATGCTCTGCTGTGCAAGTGGTCATGCTTAAATTCCTGTCTGCTGAAGGACAGCTTAATGGCCACCTCCTCATATTTTAGAGCTTGTTTCTCTGCTTTGTCATCCCTCTCATGTCCAGGTGTTCTGATGTGCACTAGAATCCATCTTACTTTTACACAGTTACCTGCTTGCTTTATTTCGGTAAGTAGGCACGTTATTTCACTCATCACGTCATTTCTGCTTTCCACAGTCCCTGTTCTGTTGCAGTAATGCCTCACGAGTAACTAGATCAAATTATGGCTGCAGCCAGTCACACGTCTTTTACCCAGGTTAATGCTGCCGCGCTCACCAGCAGTTCAGTCTTCGGGATGGCCACACGGTCTGATCGCCTTTTCCATTTCTGCATTCCTGGGCTAGGAATACAGAAGGCTATTCCCAATCTCCCCATGCTGCTGGCTTTGATCCGGCTTTGAAGACAGAGCTGGCCCCACGTGCCATAAATAAATTGATATTTCTTTAGTCATAATCTGTGGGTTTATTGTTCCCTCTTTTTTTTTCATACAATTCCACAAGTGGGGGAATAATTACCCACCTGTAATTTGATTTCTCATGACTAAAATGGTTAGTGTTCTCAAGTTTTTTTTCTACATCTCTCCCCCCCCCCTTTTTTTTGCCCTGATAGCATGAGGAAGTCTGTGGAAATCCATATAATATTGTCTAAGTGCCCAGCAATCCTCCAAACTCTGTTCTTTACTTCTGTTTTCCTTTTTCCTTTTTTACCTTTGTCCAAAAAACGAGGGCTAATAGTTTCATCCTTAGATGTATCAGTGTTTCTCCAGTGGCTACTTGCAGCACACACTGGTGTTAACCATTGGACTACATGCCAGCCATGGAGCTTGGGTCTGGGGAAGTTCCACGTTTCTAAGAGTTGTTTTTGAGGCTGGACAAAAAAACTTTGAGGACATAATCTAAAACTGGTCTTTCCAGTGCTCTCTACAGTATCATCAAAACCTTTGTATCTGCACCGTGTTTTGAGCTGCTTTTAAGTACGTTGATTCTGCTTTTACACTTTTGTATGATATCATGTATGGGGCCTTTTCAAGCTAATTTATGATCAAAAGCTTCTTATAACAAACTTTGGAACTATCTCAATTTTTTTCATGAGAAAGAAAGTTCCAATCTTCCCTAATTTTCCTCCTGGTTAAAAGCATTCCCTTCGTTTTAGCAAACGAGCATTTAAATACCCTGTCATTGCTCCACTTGAAATGAGTACCTCGTTTGTCTTTTTCTATGAGTGCTTTGTCATTTACCCGCAGTCTATATAGCATAATTGTCTGCAAAAAGAGAAATACCTATTTCTGTCTGAACTCTTCGTGGGAGGTCATTTATCAGAATGGAAAACAAAGCAGGCCGGATAATACTCCCTAGCGGAATCCCATTTGTAAGCTTGTAGAGTTGTGTTAAAGCTGTTCACACTTCGACTGACAGAATTCTGTCACTTTAAAAGTGACTTATCTGCCCAGTGTAGTTGTAGTGATGTAGTTCCCAGGCTAGTCGAGAGAACAGGTGGGTGAGGTGATACCTTTTATTGGACCAACTTCTGTTGGTGAGAGAGATGAGAATGGCTCAAAAGTTGGTGTAATAAAAGCTGTTACCTCCTATTCCTCATCTCCCTTTTCTACCCAAAGGTGCCACCATGGCTAAACAACAAAGTGAAAGAAGCAATTAGAGGCAAAAGGGCATCATTTAAAGTGGAAGTTAAATCCTACTGAGGAAAATAAACTCTGTGCCAAGTGAAGTGTAAAAATATAATGAGGAAGGCTAAAAAAGGATTTGAAGAACAACTAGCCAAAGGCTCAACATCTAACAGCAGTTTATTAAAGAGCATCAGAAAGAGGAATCCTACTCAACAACCCTTGGCACATTGTTCCAATGGTTAATTATCTGTACTGTCAAAAGTTGATGCCTTATTTCAAGTCTGAATTTGTCTAGCTTCAACTTCCAAACATTGGATTGTATTACACCTTTCTTCTATTAGATTGAAGAGCCCACTATTCAATTATTAAATATTTGTTCCCCGTGCAGATACTCAGAGATGGTAACCACTGCATTATGCACCAGACATGGACAATGCTTCCTTGCTTGCTACCAGCCAGAGACCACACACAGAGTTTAGAGCATGTCTGCATCAGGAATATATTTTCTTCCCATTATTTTTAAGCTCAAAGCAAGGAAAACAGATAATTATAGTGAAGCTGTGAAATTGCATAGAAAAATTGTTCTTATTTTCCAAACTTCCTATCCCACAAAGGGTATGTCTACACAGCAGGATTATTTTGGAGTAACTGATGTTATTCCTGAAAAACATAGTGCTTGTCTGCACTATAAGCCTTTATTTCAAAATCATGTTGAGCTGGAGAACTTCTTACTCTAAGGATGTGTCTAGAGTACATCCCTCTTTTGACAGTGGGATATAAATTAGACACTTCGAAATTGCAAATGAAGCCGGGATTTGAATTTCCCGTGATTAATTTGCATATTCACGTCATGGCGCTCTTTCGAAAAAGCGCTATTTCGAAAGTGAGACCGCAGTCTAGACATGGTTCTTTTGAAAATAGAAACCTTTCAGTGACACACACACAGCGATACACTCCCAGTAAAACACTCCCCACTGTGACACACTCGCAGTGACACACACACAGCGATACACTCCCAGTAAAACACTCCCCACTGTGACACACTCGCAGTGACACACACACAGCGATACACTCCCAGTAAAACACTCCCCACTGTGACACACTCGCAGTGACACACACACAGCGATACACTCCCAGTAAAACACTCCCCACTGTGACACACTCGCAGTGACACACACACAGCGATACACTCCCAGTAAAACACTCCCCACTGTGACACACTCGCAGTGACACACACACAGCGATACACTCCCAGTAAAACACTCCCCACTGTGACACACTCGCAGTGACACACACACAGCGATACACTCCCAGTAAAACACTCCCCACTGTGACACACTCGCAGTGACACACACACAGCGATACACTCCCAGTAAAACACTCCCCACTGTGACACACTCGCAGTGACACACACACAGCGATACACTCCCAGTAAAACACTCCCCACTGTGACACACTCGCAGTGACACACACACAGCGATACACTCCCAGTAAAACACTCCCCACTGTGACACACTTGCAGTGACACACACTCACCCCGGCAACCCTCACTGTGACACACTCGCAGTGACACACACACACAGCGATACAATCCCAGTAAAACACTCCCCACTGTGACACACTCACTGACATCCACTGACTGTACATCACGCATGTACAGATGCTGAGATATTCACACTGTTACACAGATGCACCCACACAGTAGAATACACCCTGGCCTGACATGCATTAGGCCATACCCACATGCACCCTAAAATGTGTACAGCCTGATCTACATGGACACACAGACTGACACGCACCGTCCATGCATACCCACCCCCACACACACTGATATATGTACACACAACCATAGACGCACACACAGATCCACACACATCCATTCTTACCCACCCACACTCACACCCACACAGGCATGGACACCAACATGCAGTAGTACAGATACCCCGCACTGTGCCGGCACCATGCACTGGTGCACCAGTTCCCAGCAGCCACACAACACAGCTGGATCAGCCCCTCAAGCAGGGGGTGGCAGGGACACCCTCTCACACACACAAACCCTGTTAACTGCAGCTTGTTAAACATGGCTGTATGCTGTGTATCACTGCCGACTGCTGAGTGGGAGCTGGGCCTCAGGTGCTGTGTGCTTCTCCCAGCAGTGCCCTGGCAGCTGCTGCCGGCCGAGCCCCGCTGAGCGGCAGGATCATTTGCTCTGTCTGTGGTTGCTGTCCAAGGTAAACGCTGGGGCCCGGCCGGCCAGGAAAACATCCAGCCCTGCGGTGGGCAAACAGCCGTCCAGCCAGCGCCGCAGCGCGTCCAGCCCAGCTGGGTCTCAGGCGTCTGGACACCGGCGGCGGAGCTAAGTATGGGGGATAACGTGCTGGAGGGCGTGGGGGGCTGCCCTGGATCCTGCGCCAGGGGGGTCAGAGGGGATCCCCATGGGGAAATGGAATGGGGATGGATGTTGCAGTGCCCCCTGCTGGAAGGCCCATATATAGCATGGTGCCAGGCTGGGACATGGGGCAAGAACTCCTGGGGCACTGTGCCCCCAGCCCATGGGACAGGGACCCCTATAACGTGCTGGAGGGCGTGGGGGGCTGCCCTGGATCCTGCGCCAGGGGGGTCAGAGGGGATCCCCATGGGGAAATGGAATGGGGATGGATGTTGCAGTGCCCCCT